GACACACTAGCGAGGCCTTCCCAGGAGCAAAGGCGAGACCCCTGCTGGGCGGCCCACGGGCCCTCCCCACTCCTGGCTGGACGGCGGGGCCCAGGGTGGGGGGAGAGGGGGAGGGAGGAGCTGAGCCTCCCTCCTGGCCGTGCCCCTGCTCTGGACATTCTCGGGGCCCTAGGGGATGCTCCCAGGGGTTCCTCAACACCAGCTCCCTGGAGGAGCCTGCACAGCCTCCCAGAGGGCTCGGGAGGGCAGCCCAGGACGCACAGAGGAGGAGGAGGCCGGATCTGGGCTCCGGACATTCCCCGTTCCCGGCACTGGTGCACTGACCCCTGGGCTGACCCCGTGGGAAATGCCACCAAGGGGTTTGTAGTGGTGGGGGCCGCTTCTGCACTCGCCCAGCCCAGGGGCCGCACCCCAGTCCTCTGCCTGGGCGTGCTGGGCACCAGCGGCTGGATGGACCCCGCAGCTGAGCTCAGCCACGCCCTTTGGGCTTCCTGGCGTCCTACCGGTTTCTGAGTGGACAAGCGCCCAGAGCTGGCCTGTGGGAGGCCAGAGGAGGCTCCTCCCTGCACTGCACCCCGCCCCGCGGCCACGGCCCGAGCCAAGAGAGAGCGGACGCAGAGCCCAGCCGGGTGGTGCTGTCTGGGGTGCTCAGCAGTGGTGAGGGGTATGGTCTGGGCAGGGGGGAGGGCATGGGGGAGGCCACAGAGGGGGGCCGAGAGGCCGGAAGGGGAAGGGGCCCTGCAGGTGGGGGCAGAGAAGGCGGGAATCAGGAGCCGACTGAGGGCGCGTCTGTCTGTCCGGGGCCAGGACGTTCGTGGGCCGGGATAGACGTCAGGGGGCAGCCTGCAGCCCTCTCTCCTCCATGTGCCTTTCGGGAGCTGGTGCCACCACACTGGCCCCGAGCTGCCCCCACCCCTGAGCTGCACCCCCGCACCGTGCTCCCCACACAGCTGCAAAACTGGATGTGTTTTCCCCTTTGGGTCTCCGACTTGGGGGGCATGTCCAGGAAGAGAAAGTAGTTTTGATGTGCGAATGCCTGACGTGCACGTGAACACCAGCCAGGTGGAGGGCGGGGGGGGGGGGGTCACTGCTGTCCCGTCCGCAGCCCAGCGGGAGCTGCTGTCCTCGCTGGCCAGGGAGCAGAGGGCACGTACGGTAACTAGACCACTCTCCTCTACGGAATGCCCACAGGAGGAACTTTCTGGGCGTCCTGTGTAACCCCCTTAACAAGACAAATGTAAAAAAGAAAAGGAGTGTTTCGGGGACACTCGAGTGGACCCTGCCAGCGACAGGCGTGTCCCCGGGTTTGTGGAAGGCCATGCAGGGTGGCAGCGCTGGGCGGGGCCGATGGGCCGGTCACCCGGGCCACGTGGGCCACATCAGGACGCGGGTGAGGGCGGAACGCGGGGCCACGTTTTTTACTTTCTTTCTATGAAGCTCAACCACGAGGAAACGATACCTTATCACGCTGACTCGACTTGAAAATATTAGAAGTGTGCCCTTTCTGAGGGAATTCTAAGAAGAAATAGTCATTTGAAGACTTTCTGGTTGTTTGAAACCCCAAGTTTCAACGCAGCCTCTGAGCAACGGGCCCCCCTGGGAGGCAGCGACCGCAAACTGCCCCCGCGCAGGGCAGGGAGCTTCCTCTCAGCACCAGCCGGTGGGGGCTCGGGTGGGCTTTGGGGGTGGGGTCTCAGGGTGGACATCTTTGTCCCTGGCCCCGGGCGAGACCTCCACCGCCTTCTGGGGTTTGTGGCTCCCTCCCTCAGCTCCCCTCCCCGCCCGGCCCCTGTGCCCCCCCTTGGGTGTGGGGGCACACACTGGAAGGACGGACGGAACAGAACAGAGGGCCCGGCCACGGGCCCTGCCCAACGCCACCCTCCTCCACCCGAGTCACGCGCAGACCCCTGCCTTACCGCCAGCCCCCCGTTCTTCCTGGGGAGCCCTGCTGGCTCCCAGGGCTGTGCCCCCCACCCGGGGCTCCGGCTCTCCGGGTCTCGCTCTGGGCCCACTCTGGGAACGAAACCCTCTAGTGTGGCATCGTGGGCAGGGACTGCGTCTCCCTTCCTGACCCACGGTAAACGCGGCCCAAGCGGGTGGCTTGCTCCATGCCCGCTAAGTGGACACGGGCTCCGCCGCTGACCGCTGCCCGGTCTGGCCAGGCAGCCCTCGGGAGTTTCCAGAAGGACCCAAAGGCAGGGCAAGCGTCCTGGGGTTGACCCCAGGCCTGCCGTTAGCTCGACCCCATCAGGTGGGCAGACGCGGCGCCGCGCTCCGGCTTGATCTTTGTTCAAAATCACACGCGTCCCCCACACCTGTCCATGCTCTCCGCGCAGTGCGCGCCCCCCTCGGCCACTTTTAGCTAGATCAAAAGACGGGGGAGTGTGGTGCCCTCGGAGCTGCCCGCTTTGTCCTGGCTCGCTCAGCCCCCAAATCCAACCGTCAAGGCGGCAGCAAACCCCAGCTGTGTGCTGGGGCCCTGCCCAGCGGCCACGCCAGCCCCCTTGGACCTGACGACCTGGGTCCGAGTGGGCGCCGGCAGCTCTCCCGCCCCTGCTGGCTGACCCGCTGTCCCCCACCTCGACGCCGGCCCCTGCACTCGACCTCGGAAGAGACAAACAAGCCAGGCTCACCGCAAGCAGCGGCCCCACGCAGAGCGAAGGCCGGGCGGGCAGTGGCTACAGCCGGGAGGGCCAGGCAGCCCCTCGCCGGCCCCGGCCGCCCCTCCTCAGGAGGCAGGCGGGCACCAGGTGCCCTCAGTGTCGCTCCACGGCCTGGGCAGGTCCCTGGTCCGCTCTAGCTGTGGCGTGCCCTGGCTGGGAGGACCTGGTCTCCCCAGCCTGGGTGCGGGGGCAGTGCCTGGAGGACTCCTGACCCCCCAGGGCCACCTCAGCGCCCCTTCGCAGATGCCAGGGTGTGGGGCGTGGCGGCAGGAGGAGGCCCTGCGGGTCCCCCAGCGAGGATGCTCCTGGCCAGGAGGCCGCATCCCGGGGTTCACTCCAGCGCCACGTGCCAGGCCCCAGGCACTGGTCCGAGGCGGGGCCGGGACCCGGGAGGCCCCTCCCAGCGCGCCCCAGCGGGCGGCGGAGCCCAGGGGCGCCCGGGGACCCGCGGGGTCCCGCGCTGCCTACCTGTGCCGTGCGGCCGGGGCATGGGCTCCGAGCGCCAGCCGCGCGTCCGCCGGTCACCGCGGAGCCCCGGGGCGGGCCGCGAGGGCGCGGGCGCGGGCGGCGGCGCGGCCGGCGGCGGCGGAGACAGGGCGGCGGGGGCCGCGCGGCGGGTTATATGGGCGCGGGGCGGAGGCGCGGGGAGGGGCGGCCGGCACGAGCACCCGCCGCCGGGCGGGCGGGAAGGCAGCGCGGGCCGCTCAGCCGTGGCGGGAGGGGGGGCGGCGCGCCGGCCGGGCCGGGCCTGGTCCCCGCCCCCCCAGCTGGCCGCGTCCGAGTCGGGGTCCCGGGAGCCCCGCCCCGCCGCCTTCCCGCCACCTTTGGCGCGCGGCGCCCCTGCCGGCCCCGGCCCCGCGGCCAGGACGCGCTCGCCGCCCTCGGGGCGCGGGGCTCGGGCTGGGCTGGGGCGCGCGGGGCGCGGGGCGCGGCGAGGCTGCGGGGAGGCAGACACCGCGCCCGCCCGGGGCGCTCGCCCCCAGCCCCGTCCCCCCACCCCGGCCGCCCTCCGCCCTGCAGGCGCCCGGCTTCCCGCGGGGCGCTGCCCCGGGGCGGGGGGGAGCCGCGGCGCCCGGGGGGCGAGGCCGGGGTGCGGTCGGGGAGCCGCCGGCATCCGGGTGGCCCGAGCGCGGCTCCTCCTCCTCTTCCTGGGGCGCGCGGCCCCAGGCTCGCCCCTGCCCGGCCTCCTGGCCTGCGGCCCCTCCGGGCGCCACACTCCCTCCCGGCCCCCTCGTCCTGGGGTGCCCCGTGCCCCCGAGTACGCCCCAGGCCCCCTCTGCACCCTGCGCGCTCCCCGCCGCCCCAGCACCAGGCAGGGGCCCTGCGCCCGGAGCCCCCGCCGCCCGGAGCCCCCGCGCCCGCCGCTCGCTCCAGCGCCGGCCCCGGGCCCCGGCCCCGCGCGCGGCCGGGCTCGGAGGACCCCCGCCCGGAGCAGCACCCGGGGCCGGCACCTGCCTCTGGGGCCCGGGGCCGGCGCTGACCGGCGAGGCGGCCCCTCCGGCGCCCCCGCGCCCTCCTGCTCACCTGCGCGGGGAGGGCGCGGAGCCGGGCGGGGCGCACTCGCCCGCCCCTGCCCTTTGCTCGCCCGGGGCCGCGGCGGGGCAGGAGGCGGCCGGGCGGGGTGCGCGTCCCGGGGACGCCGGGGCGGGCAAGGCCGCGAGGGACAGCGGGGGGCGGCCGGCGGGGCGGCCCCTCGGGGGGAGGGCGCGGGCGGGGCGGCGGGGGCGGGTCCCCTCGCGCGGGCTCGCGCGCCCGCGGCAGGTGCAGGCTGGGGGGGGGGGGGCGGGGCGGGGGGGACCGGGAGGGACCGAGGGGGGCCGGGGGTCCCGGGGGGCCGGACTGCGCCAACACCGACGGCGCGGACGTCTGCTCTTGCCCACCTGGAAGGTGAAGCCTACGCGGTGCGCACCCGCGGCCCGTGGCGGCCCTGGCGCAGGAGCGCGGGGTGCGTGCGCCCCACTTCCCCGCCGGGGACGCGCCCCGAACGCAGGTGACCCCGCGGACGCCCAGTTAGATCTGAATTTCGGGTCGGCGGGTCATTTCTCTGCAAGGCTGGCCGCGCGGCGCCCCGGGGCACGGGTTCGTGCCGAGAAACGAGCGACCGTTCCCGCGAAATTCAAACCGGACCGCGCGCCCCGCCCGCGGGCGGACCCAGGGGCGCATCCGCGGCTCCGGGGAAATCCCGGCTCGCGAGGAGGCCCGGCGGCGCGGGGCGCGCGAACTACAAGGCCCAGAATGCCGCGCGGCCGCCGGGAGCCCTGATTGGCGGGCGCGCGCTTCCGCCTCGTCACTTCCGGGCGCGCGGCGGCGGTTGCAGCGGGTCGGCGGGCGCTCGGCTGCTCTCGGCGCGGCCCCGCGCGCCCCGGGCGGCGGCCATGAATTTCTCCGAGGTGTTCAAGCTCTCCGGCCTGCTCTGCAAGTTCTCCCCCGACGGCAAGTACCTGGTGAGCGTCCGCGGGGCCCGGCCAGGGCGGGACCCCGCGGGGCGGCGGGGCCGCTGCCTCCCCGGGCGGAGCGGCTCGGGCTCGGGGGCCGGGCAGGCGCCGCAGGTGCCGCAGGGGGGTGAGCAGGGGCGCCGCGCAGGGGGTTGAGCAGGGGGTGAGCAGGGGCGCCCCGCAGGGGGGTGAGCAGGGGGGTGAGCAGGGGCGCCCGCAGGGGGGGCAGGGGCGCCCCGCAGGGGGGTGAGCAGGGGCGCCCCGCAGGGGGTGAGCAGGGGGGTGAGCAGGGGCGCCCCGCAGGGGGGTGAGCAGGGGGGTGAGCAGGGGAGCCCCGCAGGGGGGTGAGCAGGGGCGCCCCGCAGGGGGGTGAGCAGGGGCACCCCGCAGGAGGGTGAGCAGGGGCGCCCGCAGGGGGGTGAGCAGGGGCGCCCCGCAGGGGGGTGAGCAGGGGGGTGAGCAGGGGCGCCCCGCAGGGGGGTGAGCAGGGTCGCCCCGCAGGGGGGTGAGCAGGGGCACCCCGCAGGGGGTGAGCAGGGGCGCCCGCAGGGGGTGAGCAGGGGGGTGAGCTGGGGCACCCCGCAGGTGCACCAGACACAGTCTAGCTTAAATAGCATCCAGAAACCTTGGTATGTTTTCGAAGTTCACCCCATAAATTAATTTTTAAGTCACTTACGAAAGTCTCAGTGAATTATAAAGAGAAGGGTGATGTGTCCCCCCTGAGTTTGGTGCGTTTTACCTTCTGATCAAAAGATTGGGATCCTTAATAACCTCATTGGAGTCGGTCTCTCAGAGTTCTGTCCTAAACTCTGAAGAAAGTAGATCCCTGTTAGCGTTTTTAATGTCTTGCAACAGATTCTGTGTGGTTTCTCCCAGTGTTGGTACAGAGACACCATTTCAGAAGATGTGGTTGTTACAGGCTGCAGTTTGCAAAGCTACAGCGTGACGGAAATAGTGACATGCTAGTTGCCCTCTGCAGCCTCTCTTCCTTTTTCCATAGAAAACTCAGGTGACTTTCCTTTTAAGGGACATCTGTAAAGTACAAACGAATGATCTTCTTTGACTTTAAGAGTTACAAAAAATGAAGCAATTAACATTAGAAAACTAATCTAAATCAGCAGATGAATATACTCAACATAAAACTTAATTCACTTAGATTCACTTAATTCACTTGTATTGCTGGTAAACGCAACACAAACTGTCTTTAAGGAAACAGCAGTAATGTGAACACTCGCAGTTGGCACTAGGGATAAGCTGACACAGGTGTGGGGGCCTCTGCTGTCCCCTGGGAGGCTACCGCTCCCCTGTTGCCACCAGATGGCGGTTGTCTCTGTGGCCAGCCAGCTTACAGCTGAGCTCAGGTTCTGCACCGCCCCCCTGGAGGCCCCGCCAGTCCCAGACTGCGCCCCCACACCAGTCACAGGTGGCAGGGCCCAAGGTCACACCTCTGGCCAGCATGGCTGCAGATCAGAGGGACCCACGGCCCTCCTGGGTTCTGTTAGTTTAGGGGGAAGCTCATGGGCCTCGGAAGCGGCAGCTCCGTGTCCCAGTGTCTGAAAGGGTGAGAGATTGGACGCAGGTGGACAGCAGGTGGAGAGGGCACAGGCTGGGGGGCCCGGGTGCAGGGGTCTCTGCCCCTGGGGAGCAGGGTGCCCCCTCCAGCATGGATGTGCTCCCCACCTGCAGCACTGTGCACCCCACTGTTTCTGGGACTTCCTCCTGTGGACACTGAGTAAGGGGGAGGGGCATTCGAGTTCTTCCTCCTCAAGGCTCCGTCTTCCCAGTGTCCAGGCCCCGCCCAAAGCTCCGCATAGCTGCCCCAGTGGACGGCATGGGTCCCAGCTCCTGCGTTAGGACATGCCAGGGTTTGGACATCCAAGTCGAGAACCAGGGCAGAGGCGGCTTCTCAGTAGGTGGGAGAGCCCCATGGAGCACTCCCCATTGGCAGAATTGAACCCTAGATCTCGCCTTTCAGACGGGGTGGCCCTGAGCCTGGTGCACACGAGGGGCAGCCATGTCTTCTCACTGACCGTGAGGCTTCTCCCCATAAATCGCCTGAGGGTGGTAAAACTAGGAGAGGGTTCCTTAAGCTCACAGAAGAGCTTTTCCAGCCCCTCTCCTGTGGGCATCTAGGCTGCCGGCTCAGGTAGGGAATGACTCCACAGAGTCTCGGCCGGCTTGGGCCTGGGACGCGCCGACTGTGCACCTGCGTGGTGGGGACGCACCATCCAGGCGTGAGGAGCCAGAGTGGGGGTGCAGGGGCCGGGCCAGAGAGCGTGGGACCTCAGCGCTTCCCTCCCCATGGCCAGGCTTCCTGCGTCCAGTACCGACTGGTGGTCCGGGATGCGCACTCCCTGCAGATCCTGCAGCTGTACACGTGCCTGGACCAGATCCAGCATGTCGAGTGGTCGGCCGACTCCCTCTTCATCCTGTGTGCCATGTACAGACGGGGGCTCGTCCAGGTACCCCCTCTTAGCGGGGCCCCAGCGTGGGGCCAGGCGGCCTCTCCTAGTTTAGGGGAGAAGGCAGTGTGGTTTTCTTTGACGTCGTGCTGGGTCTCCACCAGCTTGACGCGGGCTTCCCAAATGCAGAAACATCCTGAGCTCGTGACGGTCAGTTCAGCAGCAGGGGTGTCGTGGATGCGTCTAGAGGGCCCCCCCGGTGCCCAGCGGGTCTGTCTTGGGAGGGACCCGGTGCCTGTCTGCACGGGCGGGTGGGCGGGACAGGCAGGTGCGGGCAGGGTCCTGTGGGCTGCCGGCGCGGCCCTTGTGGGGCGTGGCGGTCCTTAGCTTGACAGTCGCTGACGCTGCGTCCTGCGCCTGCTCCCAGGTGTGGTCCCTGGAGCAGCCCGAGTGGCACTGCAAAATCGACGAAGGCTCCGCGGGGCTGGTGGCTTCCTGCTGGAGCCCGGACGGCCGGCACATCCTCAACACCACGGAGTTCCACGTGAGCGGGGGCTGCGGGGCGCCTGGGGTCGGAGCTCCGCGGTCTGGAGGCGCGTGTCGTCTCTTTGCGCCCAGCTCAGAAAACATGCGTCTCCGCTCAGCGCCCCTCTCTGGGTGGTTAGGGCTGAAGCCGTCCTTTCCTTCAGCGACTGCGCTGGCGGCAGCGCGAGCCTGCGCTCCCCGGGGGCTCTGGTCTGTGGGTGGCGGCTTCGCCCTTTTGCTCCACGGACTCTGCGCTACTCCGGCCCGGCCAAGACGCTGCCTGGTCTGGTGCTGAGGCGCCCCGGCCTGACGGGGGAGGGCCTCGGCTGCAGGCTGTTGCCGTGTCTCTAAATACGGGGAAAAGCAGGAGTGCCGTGACCGGCGGCCTGCGGGGAGGGGTGACGCCGCTGCCCTGGGCCTCACTGCCGACCGTCAGGCTGCTGGGGCCGGCCTGTGCGACGGGGCGCGGGGCTGCTCCCAGCCGCAGGCGTGTGGGTGCCCTTCCGGGACATCTCGGCTCTGCCTGGCCTGCACGGCGGGCACACGTCTCAGCCCTGCAGGGGCAGCTGAAGGCCTCGCCCACGTTGTGTGGCTGCACGCGTGTCCCTTGGACACGTGCCTGCCGTCCGTTTACGCGCCCGAGGCCCCGGGGCGCTTTCAGAGGGGTCATCTGAGCTCCCCTGGCCCAGCCTGAGGCTTCGTGCTCAGGTCCTTTGGGCCACGTCCGGCCTTGCCGGGCGCCTGAGATGTGACCTCCGCTCCCGCTCGCACCCCAGAGGGGAGGTCGGCACCTGCAGAACCGAGCCCCGGGACGGGATGCGTCTCCCAGAGCCCTCCCTGCGACGCCCGCGTGGACTCAGCTGCGGCGGGTCAGCAGGAGCGGGCGTCCCCCGAGACCAGCGTGGTGGCCGCTCCGTGGTGGCTGTTGAGATGGTGATGGGCCCGGGGCCCGGCCGTGCCCAGCCAGTAGCTGAGGGGCTGTGCTGCGTCTGGGCTGTGGCTGCCTGAGCGGGCGTCAGGATGGGGACCGGGGTGCGGGCAGGAGCCCCGGGCGGCTCCCAGCACCACAGGAGGCTCAGGTTCCCGCTGTCCCAGGAGCAGGGCGGCCGGGCCAGCAAGGGCAGCCCCCACCCCCGGCTGTGAGGTGAGAGACGCGCCTTCTGCCCCCGCGCCTGGGGGTCACTGTGTCCAGGAGCAGAGGGCTCGTCCCCCACGGGAGGCCATGCGTCCTGCTGGCCGGCGGGCTCTGGGATCACCGGTGGACACGGTGGCGCTTTGAGGTCGAGAACACGGGCGCGACTGTCAGCAAGTGAGCAGCGCCGGGCGTGGCGTCTGGAGTCTTTCCAAGAACCTGACCCTTTGCCACCTCCCCCCAACAGCTGCGGATCACCGTGTGGTCCTTGTGCACCAAGTCCGTGTCCTACATCAAGTACCCCAAGTCCTGCCAGCAGGGTGAGTCGGCTCCTGGAGAGCCCGTTCTCGCGGTTCTTTGACCGTTTCCTCCTGGGGAGCTGCAGCGTACGCTGACGCAGCCTCGGTGCCGCCTGTGCCCCCTGCGCCGGCTCATCTGTCCCCAGAGACTCCAGGACGCCGTGTCGAGGACGTGGGTGACATGTCCTCCCTGCCAGCTCCGCGCCGCGCTGGGTCCAGCCCTTCCCGAGGCCAGGCCCGTCGCCCCAGTTGGCCGGCCGGGAGCTCTGTCGCACGTGCTCCCGGGGAGGGACAGGCGACAGGCGTCCTGGGGACACCCGGCCGCCGGCAGCCCCGGTGTCTCATTTCCAGCCAGTGTATTTCCACATTCTTACCTCGCGTGCTTCCCTCAAGGAGTCCGGCCCCAGGGCGACGGCAGGCAGGCCGCTGGCCGGGGTCCCGTGTCCTGCGCCCGGGGCGGGGTGCGGGGCGGGCTCCGCCCTGGCCCTCAGCCCCCCCTGCGGTGTCGCCCCTGCTGCAGGGCTGGCCTTCACGCGGGACGGCCGCTACCTGGCCCTGGCCGAGCGGCGGGACTGCCGGGACTACGTGAGCATCTTCGTCTGCAGCGACTGGCAGCTGCTGAGGGTGAGCCGGGGCGGCGCCGCGGAGGGGTGGCCGCAGTTTCCCGGCCCGCTCGGAGGACTGGTCCGCACGCACCGGGGCCTCCTGCTGACGGGGCAGGGCCGTGGGCCCCCAGGGTCTGGGGGAAACCTCTGGAATGCGGCCAGCCCCGAGGGCCCCTCACCCGCAGGCAGCATCTGCTGGCTGGTCTGGAAGGAGCTGGCCCGGCCGGGAGGAGCCAGGGAGAGGCCGAGCCTCTGTCACAGCCGCGGGCAGGCCCCAGGCAGCGGCGCCGCCGGGCTGGCGGGTGTGTTGGAGGGAGTAGCTCCCAAGTGACTGTTCCCTCTCCCCTCGGAAGCACTTTGACACGGACACCCAGGACCTGGCCGGGATCGAGTGGGCCCCCAACGGCTGCGTGCTGGCGGCCTGGGACAGCTGTCTGGAGGTAGTGCGGGCGCGGCCCAGCCCAGCCTTCGCCGCGCTTCCCCGTGCAGCCCGCCACGCGCCGCCCTGCTCCCCGCCTCAGCCTCGGTGCTGCCGGGGGCCCCATCCCCGCCCTGGGACGCTGTCCACTGCACTGCCCACCTCGGCGCGCGCGCAGGGCTGGCTCCTCCGGACGCGGGCTGACAGGCGCTCTCGCCCGCAGTACAAGATCCTGCTGTACTCCCTGGACGGCCGGCTGCTGTCCGCGTTCTCCGCTTACGAGTGGTCGCTGGGCATCAAGGCCGTGGCCTGGAGCCCCAGCAGTCAGTTCCTGGCGGTGGGGAGCTATGACGGGAAGGTGAGGACCGCGCGGGTGACGGCTGGGGCGGGGGCAGACGGCCAGACGGGCCTGACCGCGCCCCCCCCTCGCCAGGTGCGCATCCTTAACCACGTGACCTGGAAGATGCTCACGGAGTTCGGGCACCCCGCCGCCGTCACTGACCCCAAAGTCGTGAGTGCACGCCTGCTCGTTGGGCCTTGTCCTGGGGGGAGGGAGCGCTCGTCACCCTCGGGACTCGCTGGGACACCGGCGTCACGCCACCACCCTCCGCCTCGCCCTCTACCTGTGGCCTGGGCTTCTCCTGGCGCCGCGGGCCAGCGCAGCCCCCCCCCCCCGGGCTGCTGCTGCGCTCCTGGCGGCCCCACCTCCCACAGGCCTGTGTCCCCTGCCCTGCCTGGGCGTCTCCCCGGGGTGGCCGGGGTTGCGGGGCTGACATCCAGAGGAGGTGATGGGGCCAGTATAGGCCTGCGGGCACGGGGGCGCAGAGGTCCTGAGGGTTGTGTGCATCTGCTCGCTCAGCAGACCCTGGGGGGCAGGCCGAGCCCCACCCTCAGGACTCCGCGCACCCCCATGAGTCACAGGTGGGTGTTGCGGGGAGCAGGCAGAGGCGCCTGTGCCTGCACCAGGGAGCCCCTGGGGAGCCAGGCCCAAGCCGGCGCCGCCCCTGAGTATCCTCGCGTCCCCCAGGTGGTGTACCGGGAGGCTGAGAAGAGCCCGCGGCTGGCGCTGGGCCGCCACCCCTTCCCGCCGCCCCGGGTCGCCGCGGGCCCCCGCTCCTCGGCCGAGAGCAAGTGTGAGCAGCTGGGCTGGGCCTCCAGGTGGTGCTGGGTGCTCCGGGCGGTGCCTCCAGGCCAGGGTGCTGGGTGCTCTGTTCAGTGTGCGCTCCTCTCCGGGCGCCACGCGGCTGGTGGCGAGGACGGTGTGGGGGCCGCCGGGAGGCTTTTGTTGTGCAGACGGAGTCTCCAGAATCCAGACTCCACGGCTGCCCAGCTCCTAGGGCAGCTCCTGTCAGTCACGAGCCCAGAGGGTGGGGGTCCAGGCAGCGAGGCCTGCGGGCAGCTGTGGCCCCAGCGGGCAGCAGGTGTCCCAGTCCCAACTGCAAAGTGGGCAGTCGGGGCCAGACGTGGCCGGCCTGCGGACCCGCAGGAACCCAGCTGCAGCCGTGACGGCGCGAGGAAAGCTGTGGACGGCGCCTCCGTGCCGAGGCGTGAGCTGCCAGGCCCCCAGCCGAGTGCGTCCGCAGGGAGGCCCCTCCCGCCAGCCCCAGGGTGACGGCCGCCCTCTCGTCCAGGGGACCCGCGGGCACCCCTGCAGGGACCCCCCTGCTTTTAATGTCCAGGCTTTGTCTTCCCTCGAGCCGAGCGCTCATAGGCCCAGGCATCCGGGATGGCGCGCCCCGCCGAGCTGACCGCGGCCCTCTCGTGTTCTAGTTGAGATCGCCTCGATACCAGTGTCCCTGCAGGCCCTGAAGCCCGTGACTGACAGGGCGAACCCTAAAATTGGCATTGGCGCACTGGCCTTCAGTCCCGACAACTGCTTCCTGGCGACGAGGAACGGTCAGTGTCACCACCGTGTGCCCACCATCCCCAGGGCTGGGCAGGCCAGGGCTGCGCGGGCACTGCTGAGTGTGGCCAGAGCCCACAGGAACCTCTCGGCCTGGGCAGGCAGCAGGGCCGGCCTGATCTCCACCCCGCCCACCTCTGACGGTGAAGAGCAGTGTCCTGCCCGCTCTGGACGAGACGGGCCTACGTTTATAGGACCGTCGGAAAAGCCTCACGTGTGCTTTTGAGCCTCCTTAAGCCTGAGGGAGCGACCATCCCCGGGGAGGGCCTGGCGCCTGCTCTTACCTCAGAGCACTGCCACCCCTTTCCCCCGTGCCTCCTGTGGGGAGCTGAGACGGGCTGCTTCTGCCCTAGACAATGTGCCCAACGCCGTCTGGATCTGGGACGTGCGGAAGCTGAGGCTGTCCGTGGTGCTGGAGCAGCGGGCCCCCGTGCGCGCCTTCCAGTGGGACCCGCAGCGGCCCCGGCTGGCCGTCTGCACGGCGGGCAGCAAGGTGTACCTGTGGTCGCCCGCCGGCTGCCTGTCGGTGCAGGTGCCCGGGGAAGGTGAGTCCCAGGCCACAGGCACCGGAGGCTGCTGTCTCTGGGTGACCAGTGCCAGGCACGGCGAGGAGGGGGCCCTGCCTGACTGGGGTGGCCATCGTGCACCCGTGAAGTCTGGCAGGGGCCGTGCTCACCTTTGACCCCGGCCCTCTGCACTAACCCTCGGGCCTGTGTCCTCCAGGTGACTTCCAGGTGCTGTCTCTGTGCTGGCAGTGCCGCGGGGACGCGCTGGCCCTCCTCAGCAGGGACCACTTCTGCCTGTGCTTCCTGGAGCTGGAGGAGGGGGTCCGCGCGGCCTTGGGGCAGCTGGGGGACCACATGTAGGTGCTGTGCACCGCCAGGACCTCTGGGCGGGGGTCGCTGCCCGGGCCTGCTCCACGCGGAACCACTTGCTTTTATTTTTCTATATCCAGGGTCTTTGTAAATATGTATGGTATAAACTGGCTTTTCTTATTTAAAATAAATGATAATTTATGAAATGGTTGATGCTTATTTTTTTGGAGCAATTTCAGTCACAGGGAGGTTTTCTGGATTGGTTTTAAGTTGTTAGGTTCACTGTTTTAGGGACTCGGTGAGCCCTAAGTGGCCCTGCTTGCGGGGTCTGCCCTGCAGTGTGGGGAGGGGCAGGCTGGGGTCCCCAGCCTACTGTGGTGTGCCCCTGCCGGGAACAGGGCCAGCCCTCTGGGCTTAGCCCAGGGTGGGGTGGGGCGGGCCTGACCCGGGTCTGCCCAGTTGTGGGGTAGCCCCTCGCGTCCTGAGCCCACTCCCAGGACACAGCTGAAGCCTCAAGTGCAGCCACATAAAAGGTCCGTTTCCTGATCGCGGTCCTTCCCTAGAGCGCCGCCGGCCGCCCACCCATCCCCGTGGCTCCACTGGCAGACAGCCAAGGCTCGGCCCACACGGGCAGGCTCCATGCCCAGCTCTCGCATGCCAGTGGGTGCCGCTGTGCGGGAAACAAGGAGGCAGACACCTGCGAGCACACAGAGTTTATCCACAGAGGCTCCAATCAAGCCAGCAAGCAAGGAGGGTGTGGGGTGCCAGGGCCCCAGAGAAGCCCCGAGTCCCAGCCTGAGCCCGCCGGGGAGTGCGTCCCCTGCCTGGGAAAACCGCAGGCCTTGCTGCCTCCACCGCTGCCCCAGAGGGCAGACTGGGCCCTTCAGTGGGGGTGCTGGCACATGCCAGCGCAGCCTCGCGTGAGCCACCACTAAGGTGACCGTCCACACTGACAGCAGGGCCTGGCATGGCCGCCTGCAGATGTTTCTGGGCCTGGGAAGTCGTGTAGATGAATGTCAGACGCGCTTACACAGAAGGAGCTGCTTTCTGAGCTGACAGCAGACGTTGCTTGCCCAGCCCACCCGCCCGCTGCCTGCTTTTCTGCTCAGTTTTGAGAAAATGGACCAAGTTTCAAAATACAAACCTGGACACCACGTGTGCAGGCACGTGGGCTCAGGCCCAGGCCCCCGGGCTACCAGGAGTCTACCAGGGGTAGACCAGGGAGTCTACCAGGGAGGTGCCAGCGGGTGCGCTCCTGGACTCTGGGGGCAGTGGTTGACATGCTGTGGGGCCGGGCGGGAAGGAGCAGGAGCCACATGGAGACACTCGGGGGACAGGACACGGCAGGCGTAGACAGTGGAGTCCCGGCCAGTACAGGCCGTGAGGCCCTCTCGCGCCTGAGCTGCTCACTGGACCAGATGCCCTGCCCGGCTGAGGAGCCCACACCAGCCTGGCGGGCAGGAGCGGTGCCTGCTAGAAGCCAATCTTGCCTCTGGTCATGGAGTAGCCCAGCTTGGCCTCATTGTTGATGAAGGACATCAGGCCCACGTAGGTCTCGATGAGGAGGGGGCGCTCCAGGACCAGCACGCCGTTGGCTTGTCCCGACAGCGGGTTCTCCTTCTGGGCCTTTTTAACAGCTTGGATTAACAGGGCTTTGAAGCTCTCCAGCTTAAAGAGAAAACAGGGCCGCCAGGTTCATACCTGGAGAAGGCCAGCCCGGGACAAACGCCCCCCCGCCCCAGAGCTGCTGCAGCCACGTTCTGATGGCCCTCGGTGTGGCACATGGCGGCGTCAGGCCTCCTGGGTGAGCCCAGCATCCCCGCAGCGCTCTGCAGGCCTGAGTGCTTGCCTCAGAGGCCCAGCTCAGCCTTCCTGCCCCCCTCAGGCTGTGGCTGGCAACTGGCGAGCAGGTGCCTCCGCGGGCCCTGAGGCCTCTGCTCACAGAGACCCCGTCGCAGGCTAGCAGAACCCTGCGGGCCCCTGCCCAAGTTGGCCTGGCAATGGGAAGCCACGTCACAGCTCTGCTAACCACTGGCCACAGCCGGCCGCTCTGCCCTGGGCTTGCTGACATCTGGAACGTGCAGCTTATGTGCTCGGTTTCTCCAGCAGCTCAACTGCCCGCTGGGGCTTCGGCGTTGGGCCGTGCAGGCCACAGCCATGGCCTGCTGGGGGGATGCACTGCCCTCTCACCTGGCACAGAGAGGCCGTCTTCTCGTCGGCTCCGGCCATCGGGTGCTCTGTGAAGGTGGCGTAGGGCATGCTGGTGGACCAGGGGTTCCACCTGTTTATGAAGGAGGGGCGGCTCTGCCTGTCCCACTGGATGCGGATCCCAGAGCCTTCTCGCCTAACAAGTTAAAAGATGGAACCAGACTTCACACAGTGGCCACAGCTCTGGCAGGGCCCGGCCCCCGGGTGACAGGGGAGGACAGGCCCCGCGGCCATGACAGGAAAGCGCCTGTGCCAGGTCCCCGGCGGGATGGCAGGTGACAGACGTCGTTCTGGCGAGCAGTTTAACCTCCACAATGACTAAGGTTTAATCGATCGCGGGCACCGCATTGACGGGCTGCAAGACACTTGTCCACCGCGGTCCCTTCTCCTGGAAGCCTCACTTTGTTGAGACCTTTCTCGCTCTGCCTCCAGTGTCCCATTCAGAGCTCCTGTCAAGACCCTAAAGCCCACCGTTCAGTGCGACCGGCTGCGCTGGTGTGCGGGTTTCTCATGCTTCGGGAAATTCCCCTGAAGCACAAAAATCGGTGCTTGACATTGTCCACCAACGTTTTCAAACGTGTCTGTCCTCACCCTGGCCCAGGCCCGCCCCCAGCCCGGGGAGGGCCACCCTGGGGCTGGCCCCGAGGGCGGGCGCCGCGGACTTACCTGTTGAGTGACTTGGGGGGGAACTGGAACTCCCCGAAGGAGATGGTGTCCACCGCGTCCAGGGCGATCCTGACCACCTGCTGGCACTGCAGGCTGATGAAGTCGTACTTGCAGATGAGCAGGGCCTGGTCGGTGACCAGCACCAGCCGCTCCCTCTCGTTGTTCCAGTGGTCCAGCCTGCGACGGACAGACGGTCGGACCGTGGGCCTCAGGCAGGCGCAGCGGCGGGGCGGCCCCGCCCCTGGTCCCCCTCCCCACCTCCCCCCCACCTCCCCGCCCCCGCGCCCGCCCCGGCGTACTCGGTCAGCAGCCACACCCCTGGATGTCGCCGTCCTCCACCGCCGCACCACCACGCGGATCTCCTCCACCGCCTGCTCGATGGTCCCGGGCTGCGGGCGGGGGCGGCGGTCAGCGCGCGGGGCCGGGGCGGGGGTCGAGGGCCGGGGTCGGGGCCGGGGATCAGGGGCCGGGGATCGGGGGCCGGGGATCGGGGGCCGGGGATCGGGGGCCGGGATCAGGGGCCGGGGATCGGGGCCGGGGATCGGGGGCGGGCGGGATCGGGGGCCGGGGCGGGGATCGGGGGCCGGGGCGGGGACCGGGGGATCAGGCCGGGATCGGGGCCGGGGATCGGGGGCCGGGGATCGGGGCCGGGGATCGGGGGCCGGGGATCGGGGGCCGGGGCGGGGGCCGGGATCAGGGCCGGCGATCGGGGCGGGGATCGGGGGCCGGGGCGGGGGATCGGGGGCCGGGCGGGATCGGGGGCCGGGCGGGGACCGGGGATCAGGGGCCGGGGATCAGGGGCCGGGATCGGGGCCGGGATCGGGGCCGGGGATCAGGGGCGGGGATCGGGCCGGGGCCGATCGGGGCCGGTCGGGGCCCGCGCCCGGCGCACCCGGAACACGAAGTACTCCTTGACGCGCGCGCGGCGCGTGGGGTCGCGGACGCTGAGCGGCCACAGGGTCTGGCGCAGCGGCGACCCCGCCGCCGGCCGCCCCCCGCCCGCGCCGCGCCGCCCTCCTCGCCGGCCGCCAGCAGCGCCGTGGGGCTGGTGCCCGCCGAGTCCACGGTGTCCCGCAGCTGCAGCATCGCCGCCCCGCCGCCGCCCGGCCCCGGCCCCGGCCCGGCCCGGCCCGGCCCGCCGCCGCCGCCCCGACGCCCCGCCCCCGCCCGCCGCGATTGGCTCCGCCCGGCAGCCCCGCCTCGGGGCCCGCCCCCGGCCGCGCGCGCCCGCCGCGATTGGTTCGTCCCCAGCCGTCTTCCGCCATTGGCCCCGCCCTGCCGCCGATCACCGTCGCTCCCGCCCCTCGCCGCGCCGGAAGCGACCTTCGCGCGCACGCCCACTTCCTGTTTACGAGCCGGTTGGGGCGGGGCCGAGCGGGTTGCCAGGGAGACGGGCCGGGGCGGGCGGGGGCGAGCGCCGCCTAGTGGCCAACCCGCGTCCGGCCCTGCGGCCGCCGGCCCGAACCCGACCCGCGGCCCCGGTCCCGGCCGTCCGCGGCCGGCGCGCTCGGGGGGGGCGGGGCGGGCCGGGCCCGGCTGGGGTCGCGGGCGGCCGGCAGCCGGGGCGGGCGCGCGGGCCCGAGGGGGCGGCGGCCGGGGAGCGGGCGGGCCGGGCCGGGGGCGGGAGCCGCCGGACGCGCCGCTGAGCCGGGGCGCCGCCCGCACGGGGGTCCCGCCCCGCAGGCGCCGCCTCCGCCCCGGCGCCCCGAAGCCGCGCGGCTGCCCCGGGCCCGCGGAGACGCCAGGGCGGGGGGTGCCGGGGCGGGGGGGCCGGGGCGGGGGTGCCGGGGTGGGGGTTGCCCGGGGCGGGGCTGTCGGGGCGGGAGGTGCCCGGGCGTGGGGTGCCGGGGCGGGGGGGTGCCGGGGCGGGGGTTGCCCGGGGCGGGGGGTGCCGGGGCGGGGTTGCCGGGGTGGGGGGGCCCGGGCGGGGATGCCGGGGCGGGGGTGCCCGGGCGGGATGCCCGGGGCGGGGCTGCCGGGGCGGGGGGGGCCGGGGCGGGGGGGTGCCCGGCGGGGGGGTGCCGGGCGGGGGGCGCCGGGGCGGGGGGGGGGGTGCCGGGGCGGGGGGTGCCCGGGCGGGGGGTGCCGGGGCGGGGGGGGGGTGCCGGGCGGGGGGGTGCCCGGGCGGGGGGTGCCGGGGCGGGGGCTGCCGGGGCGGGGGGGGTGCCGGGGCGGGGGGGTGCCCGGGCGGGGGTGCCGGGGCGGGGGCTGCCGGGCGGGGGGGGTGCCGGGCGGGGGGGGGGGTTGCCCGGGGCGGGGGGTGCCCGGGAGCCGCTGCGCCTCCCCTCCCGCCGCGGGGCCCGCCGCGGATGGCGCCCGGGAACGGCCTGTCCCGCGGGGCGGGCGCGTGGAGCGGGGCTGCGGGCTGCGGGCTGCGGGGGGCGCGCGGGGACGCGGCGCCCGAGGCTGCGGGGGGCGGGCGGGCGGGCGAGGCGGGGGCCGCCCCCGGGGCGGGCCGGGGGCCGCGGTGTGGCCGGGCGTCCTCGCGCGGGTTGTCGCCTCCGTGTGGACGGCGGCCCGGGGCCCCCGCTTCTGCAGCTGCGGACCGCGCGGGCGGGGCTGGGGTCGGGGGCGCGTGGGGCTCCCAGGACTCGCGAGCCGGGGCGGGGTGGCTCCGAGGCCCGGGCTGGCCTGGCGGCCGCGCACACCTGCACCCCAAACAGGGCCACCTGGGGTGCCGGGGCTAGGGTTAGGGTGTCTCTGGGAAGACAATTCTCGGGGTAACAGGCCGTTGTGCGCACGGCAGGTTCGGGGTGGGTCGCGCGCCGGGCCGCGGGGGTGGGGGTCCGCGCCGGCTGGAGCCGGCTTTTCCGGCTCCGGAGTCGAGTTGGGGCGCTGGGGGGTGCGGGGCGCGCTGCCGGGGCTGAGACGCTGCGCCCCCCGACAGCAGGCGGCGGCGCGGCCCGCGCGACCCCCAGGCCCAGATGCGCGCCCACAGGGGGCAAAGCCGGGGCCCTCACGTCGTCCGCCGTGGAAGCGGGGGTCCCGGCCACAGTGGGGTCAAGCAGGGCCCTCCAGGGGGGCCTCCTTGCCAGGCGCTGCTCCCCCAGCGGCGCCCCTGGACAGGCAGAGGATGGGCTCTGGGCGCGGCTCCCCGCCCGGGCAGGTGCGGAGGGCGCTTCCCGGGTCTCCCCTCCTGGAGGACAGCCGGGCCCTGCGGCCACCTCGCCCCGGGCGCGTCCACCTCGCTGGGAGGCGCCGTCAGGAAAGGCCGCTGAGGGCCCCTGGGTGTGCCTGCCTTGGGCAGCCCGAGCCGGACGGGGCGCCCCAGGCTGGTGTGGGGCTGGCGGGCTTGGAAAGGCCGCGGCGGGGCCGGGGTGTCGGTTTTGGTCAGCGTGGCAGGCGGGGGCAAACGTGCCGCTTGTCCTGAGGGGCCAGGGCTGCCCCCCCACAGCAGCAGGGTCCCACAGCCACCCCGGCTTCGGGCGGCAGGTGTCTGGACGTGGGGACTTGGGAGGAAGAGCCGCCCTCTCCCCGCCTGCCTGCCCACCTGGCCCTGGGCTTGGTGCCTGGGTCAGCAGTGGGCAGAGGAGGAGACCAGGAGGTGACCCATCTGTGCTCCCTCCCAAGGGGGCCAGGGGCAGGGCCTAGACCACGAGCTGAGGTTGAGAGTTTTTGTAACATAAATAAACTACCTCGGGGGCCTCCCTGGTGGCGCAGGTGGTTGAGCGCAGCACCGTGAAGCTGCCGCAGCCTCTGCAGCACCGGTTCGATCCCCGGCCACCTGCGAGGGTCCCGCATGGCGCGCAGACCTCTCCTGCCGCCCGCTGCTCCCCTCAGCAGTGTCCTTCCGTCCTTCTGCCTGCTCTGCTCCCCGCTCTGGCTCCGGTGAATTCTCTCGCCCTCCCGCGCTTCTGACTGTACCCCAGTTCTTATATAAATAAATCTTCAAAAAAACTAGCTTGTTCTTAAATTACCTTTCTTAAAGGGAGACCCCCAATTCTACGTGCTTTGGGCCCCACCAATCCTGGACCCCCTGCCCAGCAGCCCCCATTTTAATCCACAGGATCTACCCGAATTCTTTCCTTCTTCCTCTAAGAAGCTGCAGAACTGTCTGGGGCAGTGAGCCTGTGGCCACTGTCTGAGGGGTGCCTGGAGAACGGGGCGCCCTGCTAAAGTGTCTGCTCGTTCACTCAGCACCCAGTGGGCACCGGGTCTGTGCCGAGCCAGCTCCCTCACAGGGAGAAGAGTAAGGGTGGGGGCCTCCCTGGGGGCACAAGGGGTTAAGCACAGCCTGTGAAGCTGCCCGCAGCCTCTGCAGCGCGAGTTCCCTCCCCGGCCAGGGAGCTACCCACGGGGTGCGGCAGACTCTCCTGTCTCCCCGCTGCTCCCCTCAGCAGTGGATTCCACTCAGTCTGCCTGTTCTGCTCCCCACTCTGTCTCTGGTGACTCCTCTCACCCCCACACCTCTGGCCTGTACCCCAGTTCTCGTATGCATAAATAAATCTTTAAAAAGAAAAAGCAAGGAGCGGGGTGCGGGAGTCCACCGGGCCCTTCTCAGGGTGGGGAGAGGCCCAAGCGCCCACCTGTGCCCAGGTCAGGGCGGCAGCCCAGCTTCCGGGGGGCTGTGGGGAGGTGAGAGCGTCCCCAGCCTGGCCTGGTCAGCCCTGCTGCTGGGAGCCCAGCTGGGGAGGGGCCCAGAGAGCGGGGCGGGCGCCCAGGTAGCGCGGCCTGGGATGCAGCGGAGTCCGGAGTCGCCGCTCAGCGGCCAGCCCCGGGGAAGCCGCCCGCGGGGTGCGGGGAGCCGGCGGAGGCAGTTCTGGCTGGTCCAGGGCTGTTCTCTTGGGGGCGCCTTATAAGAAGAGGAAGAGCCCCCAGAGCCCCCGCCGTCTGCGGGAAGGGGGTCCCGCGGGATCCTGGCTCAGCCTGGCCTACGGGAGGCTGCGCTGCCGCCTGAGCCCGGGGCGCCTGGGGTCTTCGGGTGCCGCCCGCTGGGCTTCCTGTTCTAGCTCTTGTTCTTCGCGCTCTCGGGAGCCCACTGTGAGGCGCGTTTTTCAATGATCCCTTGTTCCTGGACACGCGCTGAGTGCCCCGTGGACACCGAGCGGGGCTGAGCCGCGGGGCCACGCTTAGCTTTCGTCCCTCTGGTCAGACTTCTCCTCGTCAGGGGCGCCCCGAGGTGCGCGCACCGCGGCCTGGACCGCGGCACCCGGGGCGGTCTCCCCTCCAAGAGCGGGGTGCAGAGCTCAGAGCCCCGGGCCTCTCCGGCGGGCGGCGGGGCTGGGAAGGCGCTGCCTGTTCCTCGTGAGCGCGCGTGGCTGCAGGGAAAGTCACTCGTGTCCCTCACAGAGGCGACCGGGCGGATTCCAGGGCGCTGCCGCCCCCAGAGCACCCCGGGCAGAGGCACCGGCCGGGCGCGGGCGGGCGGGGGCGGGCGGCGGGTTGGGCGCGGGGCTGTGGAAGAACCTCCCACGCGGCCCGCTCCGTGGTGTTCTCTTTGGCAGCCGAGCTGGCCGGGACGCACCGGGGCCCCGCCGGACTTGCGGGGACCCCGCGGCTCTGCGGGGGGAGCAGGGCCGGGGGGCGCCCTGCAGACCCTGCTCAGCTGCGGAGCTGCGGGGCGGGCTGGGGGTGGGTGCTCCCCCCTCGGACTCAGCGTCCCCGTGGGCGAAGCAGCGTGGTGCCGGGCTGGCCCGCGGGGCGCCCCCACATCAGGCGGCAGGCGAGGGGGGCGCCCGCATCTCCGAGGCCCCGACGGCCCCGCTCCGAGCGCCTCCCGGCCCGGGGGGGACGGGGCGGCCCTGTGCGGCGTGGGGGGAGGAAGGTCTCAGGAGAAAGGGGGGCTGAACCCCCGAGTCATGGTCGACGAGCGCCCAGCGGGGCGCCAGCCCCCGCCCCAGGGGTCCCCACGGGCGCGCCCCGGGACGGCCGCTCCTCGGTCCGGATCCCCAGACGCCGACCCTCCCTGGCCTGCCGCCCTGGACGCCCCCGCCCGGGCCGGCGCCCCGACGCCAGGCTGCAGGCCGAGCGGCCACCAAGAGGGCGCGAAATGCAGGGGGCGCGGGGCTCGGCCGGGGCGGGGGGGGGGGGGGGGGCGGGAGGCTGGAGCGGGCGGGGCGGAGCGGGGCCGGGTCTGGGGTCGGGGCCGGGGCGTGGCCAGGAGGGCGGGGAGGTGGGCGGGGGCTGCGGGGCCCGGCTGGGGAGGGGGCGGGGGCGGGCCGGGGGGCGGGCCGAGGGCGGGCCAAGCGGCCGGGGCGGGGCCGGGCCGAGGGCTGGCCCGGCGCGGGAGGTGGGCGGGCCCGGCGCGGGGTGGCGTGACCGGGGGCGTGGCCAGGGCGGTCCGGGCCCGGCGCGGAGGTGGGCGTGGCCGGGGGCGGGCCCGGCGGGGAGGTGGGCGTGGCCGGGGGCGGGGCGGGGCGGGGCCGGGCGGCGGCCTCTCCGCGCGGGCGGGCCGCACACTGGGCTCCGGCGCGGACGCGAGGCCGGACCGGCACCTGCAGCGGCCGCGGCTCGCGCGGGCACCTGTGGCCGCGCCCGGCGGCCCCGCATGGCGCGCGTGTAGGCGGCGGCTCCGGGCCCGCCGGGCCGCGGCGCGATGCGCGTCCTCCCCGCGGTGCGCGCCCTGGCGCCGGCCCTGGCCCTGGCGCTGCTGCTGCTGCCCGCCGCGCCCGCCGGCGCCGGCCCCGCCTGCTGCCCGGCCGGTGAGTAGCGGGGCGGGGGGGGGGCGTGGCTGGCGCCCCAGAGCCGGGCTCCCGTCTGCGGGGGCGGGGCCCCGACCCGGCCCCCGGGGCGCCCTCCGCCGCCCGGCCTCTCCCGCCCCCGCCCCGGGCCCGGCTTGGTGCGCCCGAGCCCGCCGCGCCCCGCGGGGTCAGCGGGGCCCTGGCGCGTCCGGCCGCAGCCGCCAGGACGGGGGCGCAGAGGCTCCCCCTCGCCGGCCGGGCGGGGCGCGCGTCCCCCCGCTGCTCGGGGCCGAGGGGGAGACGGGGCCGGCCGGGCGCGAGGGAGGGTCGGGCCGGCCGCGGTGAGTGGAACTTCCCCGCGCTCGCGTCCCGCCCGCCGGCCGCCGCTGACCCGCGCTTGGCCGCGCGGCGGGGCGGGCGGGGCGGGCGGGGGGCCCGCGGGGTAGGATGGGCCGGGGTCGGGTGGGCGACAGGCGGGCTTCGGGCTGAGCCGGGAGGGGGACAGTCCACACCCCGGGCCCACCCTGGACTTCGCCTTACTCCAAATACGGGGCTTTCCCTGGGGCCGCTTCAGAGGAGCCCGGCCGGGTCCTCTGCGCCCAGAAGTGTGAGCCGCCTGAGCCCGCCCGTGAGCCTGCGGACGCCCCTCCCGGGCACCCCGTCGTCAGCTTGTCCAGGGGGCTGCTGCCTCCCAGGGCCAGCACCGCGGCCGCTTTTCCTGGCTCCCGGGACGTCCAGAGGCGGGGGGGCCAGGAATTTTGGGGTGGTCAGGGTGGGCAGCTGTTCAGCCCCTGCCTATGTGGGGCTCCACTCTCAGGGGGGCTTCTGCCCCGCGTGCATGCTAGTGGGGACTGCTGTGCCCTTCTTGGGGCCCCAGCACCCCCAGCCCCAGAGCGAGCGAGCAGCTGAGCGCCTGAGCCTGCCCGCTCCCCGGGGCTCGGAGCCGGGCTGCTTCCTGGTCAGGGCGCACACGCTCGCGCCACCTGTCACTTGTCTGCAAGCGCCTGGCCCCAGCCTCGTGGGCAGCCCCAGCCCTGTGGGCAGCAGGCTGCAGTGGCGGGGCCAGCGGGTGAGGGCAGCGCCCTTGCTCCTTCCTAGACCCAGCCTGTTTCTCTGCGGGGCTCTCGAGACGCGTCCGGCCGAGCAGAGGAGAGGGACGCGGCCCCCAGATGCCAGGATGTGCTCTTTCCGCCCGCACCCCCGGGCAAGGGAGGGGCTGGGAGAGCAGCGAGCTCCCCGCTGCCCTTTGCTCCAGGGTGACCTGGTGAGCCCCCAGCCCCGCCCGTGCCGGCCAGTTTTCCAGAGCCCCTTAGCTGCCCAGTGGTAACAGAGCCCAGGAGGTTTTCTGGGTGCAGTAGAGGAGGGGGCTGGGGGGCCCCCGACCCACAGTCCGTGTGTCTGGCCAGCCGGAGCCCCCGCTAGCCTGGCACCTGCCTGCCCAAGGCACTCGGAGCTGCAGGCTCAGTCGCTGTGCCCCTGGTGACCTCTGCCCCAGGGCAGGGCCTTACCCCGGTGGCCCAGGACGGCGCTGGTCACATGCGGGGCTGGCCCGAGGCGGCTGGGCGGGCCTGGGGACAGGGAGATGGACGCCCACATGCCAGAGCCCGGGCACCCTCGGGCTGAGGCTGGTGCTTCGGAGGAGACGCCTGCAGCCTGCACTCGGCGCCTGGGCTGAGCGGCCAGAGCAGCCCCGCCCGTGCAGGCAGGGACGGGCCCCCCAAGCTCAAGTCCTGACTTGCAAGTCGCACTTGGACATCAGGCCCCAAGGGGGCCCTTGACCCGGGGAAGTTAGGAAGCCCCTGGTCCCCCAGGCAGGGGGCGGGGTCAGAGAGCGGAACTGGGCTGTGGGGTGGCGGGGCTGCTCCTGGGAGCTTGCTCTTCGGGGCGCTGCTGCCCCCACTCTCCCGGGCACTGAGAGCTGCGATGGGGGATGGCGGGGCATGTGCCCCTCCAGCTGCCGCGCCTGGGCCTGGTGTGACATCGCCGGAGTCGGCCAGTTGTCTAGTGGGCAGGACCGAGGCTGGACAGTGACCCCTGCGTCGCGGTGTCCTAGGGGCTCGGGCTGGAGCCGGGGGCGTCCGGCCCCAGAGCCGTGCCGCGCTAGTCCAGGGTCTGGGTCCGCAAGGCCCGGGGAGCCCTTGGGTGCTGACGGGGCTGGGGAGGTGGGCTGTGTGCCCAGCCGCCGGACAAGCGACGTGCCCAGGTGGACCCAGCGGGGCCAGCTGCGGCTCCCCACGCCGGCTGCCCGCTTGCTGCTGGGGGCTGCCTCTCGCGCCCACCAGTCTCCGGCAGAGGCCGCCAGCCTGGAGCCCGCTCGCGGGAGCAGAGGCCCGACAACACCCCCCCCCCCGGCCCCCAGCTGTGTTCACCCTTTGCTTGGGAATTGCCTTCCCGCCCCCCCCCAGATGGGGCAGGACCCACTGCAGGGCCGGGCTTGCCTCCTGCACAGCCCAGGGGAACCCCTCCTGTCTGGGGAACTGGGCCCAGAGTCCTGGGGGACAGTGGGCAGCGCACGGTGACTGAGCCCAGCGGGTGCGGGGAGGCTCACGCCCCCCGGTGGTCCTCCCGCTGGTGAGCCCCAGTCCAGGTGGCCGAGGTTTGCCAAGGGGCGGGGGCTGGTTTGGAGGCGCTCCCCGCCCCTTGGGTTTCTGCCACATTCCAAGCCCCACGTGGGTCGCCTCTCCTGCTGACCGGGGGGGCCAGGCCAGAAGCCCCGGTGGTGCATCCTGAGCGCGGGGCTGCGCGGGCGTGCGGGAGTGGCGGTGCCATTCCGGGCCGGAGGGGCCTGCGGCCCAGAAACAGCCACCAGCAGTCCAGGTGCTCAGGGGTCCCTCGACACCCCTGTGCTGCCCCCTTCACAGAGGCGGACAGGGGCCCAGAGAAGGCCGGTGGGTTTCCGCAGGCTGCACTGTGGCCAGGCCTGGGCCCGCACCTGCCCTCCAGGCTCGCCCTGTCCTCACGCAAGGAGAGAGTCGACCGTCCTGAGCGGGTGCTGTCAGGGCCCGGCTGGGTCCACAGCGAGGCGGTGGGGGGTGGCCAGGCCCCCAGCTCACTGCGGAAGGTCGAGGGCAGATGGGTGAGGCACAGCGGTGGGCACAGGAACCTGGAGCAAGAATGATAGCCCTGGTGGCCGTTCACTGGGCCCCTGAGGACTCTGACCATGTCACAGGTGAGGCCCCTCCCACAAGGTCAGGCTGCGCAGCCATCAGACAGGGGAGCCCATCTGACGTGTGAGCCCACCTGGCAGGTGAGCAGGGAGAGCTGCAGTAGCTTGTGCACCTCACAGATGGGAGCCGAGCGGCAAACCCAGGCTGCTGGGGATGGCGTCTGCCTCAGCTGGGCCAGGGCTCCTCAAGCAGGAGTGGGCTGCAGACTCCCCAGAGGGCTGCTGAGGCCCCCCCAGCTCCAACTGCCTGGCTGAGCCCAGCACCCGCATTCTCGCGGGCTGGCAGGGGCAGCGCTGGCCCGGCCGGCCCCTCGAAGCGTGGCCCTGTGCTTGGGCACCGGGTCAGTGAGAGAGGCCCCCGGTGTGCCCGGGGAGGAGGTGCCGCCTGGTGAGGGGGCCGGGAGGGCCCCTGCCGGGGCTGGAGAGAGCTGTTGGGGGGGGGGGGGGCTGGGCGGGCGGGAGGGGAGCTCGCCGCACCAAGTCTGCCGCCCGCCATCCTCCCGCGGGCCCTCCCGCTGGCTAACCCCAGAGGGCCAGGGTGTCAGCGTGTGTTTGGGGGTGTCTGTGCACACGTGTGTGCGCGTGTGTGCCCCGATCTGCCCGGAGCAGCTGCAGGCCCGGTGTGGGGGCAGTGACCCTGGGCTGGAGGTCATGCGGCGGTGGGGCCACAGCCTGCGGGTGGCCGGCAGGTCGTGAGGGACCCGCCACTTGCTCCTCGGGCCAGGCCTGGCCCAGGAAGGCCCTTTCCTGGCGAGGGGCCCGTCTGGGGCTGCCGCCCCGGATCCTCCCTCGCCTCCCGGTTCTCAGCCCAGGACCCTTGGCCCGAGGACCCAAAGCTGGTGCCATGGCCGGGAAGTCGGGGCCAGGCACCTCCTGTGCGGCCCTGAGAGGCCCGGAGCCCGCGGTGTGGCCGGAGGGCGGCCAGGAGCCCTAGCCGCCAGCCAAGCCTGAGCAGCCCCCAGGCCGTGTGGGACCCGGGGATGGGGCTGCAGCGCGGGGCGTCTGGAACGCCCCTGTGGCCCCAGGAGCTGCTCTGGAAGCAGCTTACCTCTTCCTCCTGCCTCCCTGGAAGCAGGTCTCTGGAAGTCCCCTCCCGCTGGGGTGCAGCTGTCTCCGCGGGGGAGGAGGCGCCCACTGCAGGGCCCCGGTGGCCGTGGAGGCTGGGAGGCCACGGCCGAGGTCCCCCAGGGGCCCTGGGGCTGGACATGCTCCTTCTAGGCACCCCGCTCCCTGGCGACGTCTGTTGGAGGGTCAGCCTCTGCTCTGGAATGTCTGCAGACTTTGGGGTGGGGATGGACGGGGTCCAAGGGTGGGGGGTGCTCCCAGCCCCCGTGTGGGCCTGTGTGGGGCTTGGGGTTCCGGGCCCTCCAGCAGGATCGCCCAGCCTATGATTTGAGGTCAGCTGGGAGGCAGCCGGGTGCCCTGCAGAGATGCCCCCTGGGGCACCGACTTAGATGCTCCGTCTCCCCGGCCACGAGTGCATCGTGTTGGTCCGCGCGGTGCGGCCGCCCAGCGCTCAGGAGGGGCACGGCTTCCTCCAGGTGGAGGGTGCAAAGGCCTCAGGGTGCACCCTCTTGGCCGCAGGGTGCCTGTCGGGGGCGCTGGCCTCGAGCCAGGGCGGCTGGACAGGGCAGGAGCGTCTCCATGTGGGCTATGGGGTGAGCCAGTGCCCTGGCGGGGCCACAGCCGCAGGAGGGGTCCCGGCTGGGCCCGCTGCCCCCGGCTCGCCCAGGGGGTGAGTCCAGCGGTCGCTGCAGACTGGAGGCTCCCGCCTAGCTCGCCAGAGCTGCTCGTGTGCAGAGCCCCTGCCAGGAGGCCCCCAGGACCGGGCAGGCCATGTCTGGCCCCCGCCCTCCCCAGAGCTCCTCCCCACGGCTCCCCCGCCCCAGCCGCACCTCCTCCTTCCCGCATGGACCCAGCCTCCTCCCAGCCCTTACCTGGCTGGGTCGGAGGTGCTGGCGCCTCTGGGGTGCAGGGAGGGGGTCTCGGGAGCTGCCGCCCCGCCCCTGCCGCCACTCCCCCCAGGGTGCCGCCCGCTTCCAGTCTCGGTCTGGCTTGCTCTGCCATCCAGCCTGGAGCGGCCTCCTGCCCAGCGCTGCGGGCCCAGGGATGGCTCCGGCCGGGCGGCCTGCCGAGAGCGGGAGGTCAGGGTGGTCGCTGCTCCCCAGGCCCCCACCCCGCTGTTCAAGGGCAGAGGCCCACCGTAGGGGTGTCACCCTCGTGCCCTGAGGCTGGGCACCTCGCTGAGGCGATCTGGCCACGAGTCTGGACCCCTCCAGATGGCTTGGCCCCAGCGGCGGGCGGGTGGGGCGGGAGCCCTCGGGGGCCGGGGTGCTGACCGCCTGCCTGTCCTCTGCCCCAGGCCTCACGTGTGTGCCGGACAGGAGCTGAGCCTGGTGGGTCACCGGCAGCCCTGCGTGCGGGCCTTCAGCCGGGCGGTGCCCGTGTGGAAGCCAGGCTGCGGGCGGCAGGCGTGGTGTGCGGGCCACGAGCGCAGGTACGTGGGGCAGGCAGCGGGGCGTGGGCTTCCGGAGTCAGAGCCACCCACGCCCTCTGCCGGAGCCCCGGGTCTGGGGTCCCGGCTTCTTACGCCACGTGGGTGAGGCTGCGGGCGGAGAGCCCCTGCTGAGCCGGGGCGGGGGGCCGTAGGAGAGGAGGGCCCCGCCGCGGCTGGAGACCCTCACCCTGTGGGGGGGCACGGGGAGGGCTGCTGCCTTGTAAGGCTGCAGGGCCCCGCGTCCCTGCTGGAGACGGCAGCCTGGCCCCGAGCTCGTCCCTGACCCTCCTGCTGCGCAAGGCCCCGGGCAGTGCCCCGCTCACGCCCCTTGCACACTCGGGCTCGGAATCTGCCCGGTTGCCAAGCGGTAGGGCTCAGGTCGGGCACACCCCAGTGGGAAGCTGGTGCTGCTCCTGGGGAGTGGGGGGGTGGGCTGCGAGGGGTGCCCTCCAGGTCTCGGCCAGGTCTCCGGGGCCCCTGCAGGCTGTGGGCCGGTGGTGCTGCTCCCAGGGCTCCAGGGCGCCCCTTTGGCACCTTTGGGGTGCAGCTGCTGTTCGATGTGTGCCGTGAAGGTCCAGGGTAGAGGCTGTCGCTGTCCTCAGCCAGGCCTGCATCCCCGTCCTGGGACCTCGCCATGTCGGGCCAGTGCCAGGTCCGGCAGGCGGGCTGGGGGGCCGTGACTGGCAGGTAGGACGGGGGTACCCTTGGCCAGGAGCGCCCCACCTGCATGTCCTGGAGGCTGAGGTTGGGAACCCCGGCAAGGAAAGGCCCCCACTCTTCCCCAGAGATGCGCCCGTGTCCCGAGACCCTCACCCTGACGGGGCTGGTCACAGGACAGGCGGCCTCCTGCCCTCCCCGCCTGCTGCAGCTTGTTGGCCGGAGCCGGGCACCCGGGGGCAGTCCTTGTCTGGATGGCGGGGCGGCACTCAGGCCGCGGTGCCCCTGCCCCAGGCGCCCGTGTCCTCTGGGGTCTCAGGGGCAGGGCCGGCTTGCTGGGTGGCTGGACCCTCCTGCTGCAGGCCCCGGCGAGCGGCTGGGTGCCCGTGGGCAGTGGCTGGCCGGTCTGCGGGCTGTAGACACGCCCGGCGCCCCCGCCCTCCACTGCAGGTGAGTGCCCCCCGCCTTGCCTCTGCCCGGGGGCCGCCGGTGTCGGGGGCTGGAGTCAGCACCTGCCGTGGGGACCGAGCCCCCCCTCCCCTGTGGACAGCCCGGCGCCGGTGCTGTGCCGCGTCCCCCCGAGGGCCCCGCAGTGGGCAGTGCCCTGGCGCCTCGCCCCGCTGCTGCCCCAGCTGTGCCTGGGGGCTCAGCCACGTGAGGAGCCACAGCGTCAGTCGGTGCCTTCATGGGGTCCACAGAGGCTCTCGCTTCCCTTGGGGCTGGCCCTGCACCCGAGCTCCGCCCTCCACCTGCCCAGAGCAGGGTCCAGCCCTCGGGGTGCGCTCACTCCTCCTCTAGCGTGGAGGCAGAGCCCGCTGGGTTCCCGGCCGTGCCCTCCTGCTCTGTCTGCCCCAAGGCTCTGGTGTGCGCGGGCCTCCGGAGGGGAGTCTGGGGAGCTTGAGAGGGTCCCCTTGCTTCCTGCAGCCCTGCCTGCTGCCAGCGTGTACCCAGGGCCCCCAGGGTCTCTGGCCAGTAGAGCGCAGTGCCTTGGGCCCCTACCAGTCAGTGCCGAGGGGACAGCTGAGGGCCCTGGGATCCGGGGAGAGGTGGGTGAGGCTGCCCCTCGGCTCCAGGTGTGCTGCACGGGTGGGTAGGAGGGTGCAGGTCCTGCACCCGCAGACCCACGCAGGGTCGCGCCTCTCCCCTGAGCCCCCGGGTGGCCGAAGGGCAAGACCCCACCTCGGGCTGGGTTTCCGGCCTGTCCATGCCTGGTGTCTCGTCTGTAGGGGGTGAGTCAGGCCTGGGGTGAGGGTTGGGGGCCTCCGTGGGTCCCCCCTAAGAGCAGCCGCCACCGCGCCTGAGGGGCGGGCATGCGGCCCCCGCAGTGGTTTCTGGGGGAGGACCACTGCGCCCCGCATGGGCCTGTGGGTGATGCGGGCTGTGGGGAGGGCAGGGGCCTGTGGCCTGCTGTCCGTCTCTCCAGGCCTTTCCCAGTAAACCCGGCGGCCGTCGGGAGGCACAGGGGGCGCGGAGGGGACGCTGGGGCACGGAGACCAGCCTGCGGCCCACACCCCGGCTGCGGTGCCGCGGCCTGGGCGCCGGGGCTGCGGGAGGCGACGGCGCAGGGCAGCCTGGTAGCCACTAGCCCGCCCAGGGGCCGCACGAGCCCCTCCCAGAGGCGGCCGGACCCTCTGGGTGCCCCGTGTGGCGGCAGGGCCAGGCCCGCCTGGGGCGCTCTGAGGGCCGTGGCTCAGAGGCTGGGGCGGGAGGTGGCCGTGGCCGGCTTGGCCCTGTCCGGCTGCACCGCGGGAGCAGCACGTAGCGGGGAGAGGAGTAAATATTTACGAGGTGAGGCCCAGACACTGTCCGCCGCGGCGGCCGGTCCTCCCAGCAGGCGGATCACGTCCAGCCAGAGTTCCGGGAAGCAGCCTTGTTGTTGGGGCCGCCCCTCACCTGGAGGTGCCCTGGGCGCGAGGGCCCTGGACCCCGCTGTGGGGCCCGCCGGGCGCCTCTCCTGCCCCTCCTCTCTGGGGGGACTGGGCTGGAGGTTGCAGGGGTGTCCGCTTCCTCCCCTTCCACTACTGTGTCCCCCTTCCTGCCCATGCCCCACACCCCCGCAGGACAGCCCCCTCCTGCTGGGGCCACGGCCCCCGGACCCCAGGGCGTGTGTGGAGCCCCGAGTCCTGGGCCGGTCGCCTGACGCTGCTGGGGTAAATCTTGATGAATCGGCCTCAGACCACAGGAATCTGCTCTCACGTTCTGGAGGCTGGAGCCGGGTGGGGGGGGCAGGGCTGGCTCCTCCGGAGGGCTGGGGCGCGAAGTGCCCATCCCAGCCCGCTCCGAGGTGGGGCTGGGCCAGCGTGGGGGCAGCGCAGCCCGGGCCCGGGCGGGGGCGGGGGGCGTTGCAGGGCTCTGCTGGGCAGTGGGATGGGGAGACCTGGCCTGGGGGGTGGTGTGGTGGGCGGGCGGGCGGGTCTGCGCTGCAAACGCTTCCCCCTCTCCTCTCCAGAACCGTCTACTACACGGGCTACCGGCTGGTGTACGCCGTGGAGACGCAGACCGTGCTCAGGTGCTGCCCAGGGTGGAGCCAGCTGCCCGGCGACCAGGGCTGTCTGTCCCGTGAGTGCCCAGCCGCCCCGCTGCCCCCCCCCCCCGTCCGGAAGAGGCCCTGTCAGCGGGGTCCTGTCCCCACACTGGGGACAACCTCAGCGACCTCCAGGGCCCAGCAGCCGTTGGCTCCCGGGCGGTGCCGAGCAGCCAGCAGAGCGCTGGAGCGGCGTCCACGCTGAGGTCGGCCCACCGGGGTGGGCTCCAGGTTGAGGGGCTTCATCTGCCGGCGCCCGAGGGCCGCCCGGGCCATGTGGTGTCAGTGGCTCCGGCCCAGCCCGGCGGGTCGGGTGGCGCGTGAGTCTTGCCGGCTCAGGTCCTGGGCCGCTCGCACCTGGGCCGGGGCTGGGCCTGGAGGCCGTGGTGGACCAGCCCACCGCTGCAGGCACCCTGGCCGTGCTGTCACCCGCTGCATGGCACGTCCATCACTGCCCCCCGGGGGTCCTGTGAGCCCCAGCGGGAGGGAGAGCCCACGCGCCGGCCCGGCCCCGGCAGGCTCTGCGGCCACTCACACACACCAGGCAGTTGCCCCGTCCAGGGCAGGGCTCATGCCGGGGTCCAGCTGCGGGGCCATTGGAGAAGGGGCCTGGCGTGGCGCGGGCACTGGTGGCTGGACAGTGGGCTGGGGTGGCGTCAGCGTGGTGACCGTGGAGGTGGGTGGGCGCGGGGCGTGAGCACAGGGGCATGTGCGTGGGCCAGGCTGCGAGGGCGAGCGTCGCACGCCCCGGGGAGCTGCCCCAGGCGGCCTCCCTGAGCGGTGCCATCGTGATGTGGGGCGAAGGCCGAGGGGTGGGGTGCCTGGAGGGCTCCGGCCGGAAGGGCCGTGACGGAGCTGGACTCAGGGTGTCCGGAGCCCCTGGCCCCAGCCCCCCCGCCCCCCCACCGCCCGCACACAGGAAACGCGGGGCGTCTCCGGGCAGAGACGCCCGCCAGCGGCTCGTGGAAGCAGAGGGGACGGATGGCGGGATGTTTTCCCTGGAGAGGAAACGGCCGTTCTCTGCAGGACGGGAGCTGGAGGAAAGCGACGGAAGCCCTGGGGGCCCTGTGCTCTGGGGGGCGGCGGGGAGGGGGGCGGCCTCTCAGGCCCAGGCTGCCCGTCTGGGTGGCTCTGACCGGGCGGCTGACGTGGCCGTTTCTGTGCCGCTGGCGTCTGGGAGACAAGGGGTCTTTTGAGGGGGTGCAGCGCGGACCTCCAAGCCCAGGTCCCCTCCACGCCCCAGGCCCACACTCCTGGCTCGGTTGGTCAGGAAACAGTAGCGACTGCGGGGCTGGCAGGAAGTGGGGCTCCAGCCTGTGTCCCCGGGCCTGCCCCCAGGAGGGCCGGGCAGCGGCCGCAGGGTGGGCGCAGGGGCCCGGCCGGCGACCTTGGTTTCGTCTGTGTCTCGGCAGCCGTCCGGGGTCAGCAGGCCGAGCGCTCTGGGGCCCAGGTCCTGCCTTTTCAGGAACTCGGGGCGCCACGGAAGCCTCCACTGGGCCGGGCTGTGACCGTGTCCCGTCCAGCCTGGCTCTGCGTGGGCTCTGGCCTGCCAGTTCTGCCCGAGCCGGGCGCGGAGGTGGCTCTGCTGCGGGGGGAGTGGGGGGGGCCGAGCCAGCACCCGGGGCGGCCGGCGGTGCAGGGGGGCGGAGCTGGCGGGCAGGGCGGAGGGGGGCAGGCAGGGCAGGCCGGGCCCCGGGGGGCAGGTCGTCTGGTCAGCGGGGCCAGGCGAAGTGTCCCCACGTGGGTCCCGAACTCAAGGGCTTCTTAGTTGTTTGCTTCTAGGAATTCGCCTTTAGCTCGGGGTTTCCTCATTCGCGTGCGCAGCGTTCACCTGCTTGTGAGGATCCGGAAGGGCCCGCGGTGTGGGCCCTGGGGACGAGCTGGCCCGAGAGGGTGGGGGGGTGGGGGGGTGGGGGTGTGGCTCAGGCGGAAGCCTGCGGGGGGGCGGGGCACTTCCTTTCTTCTTCCATTCATTCATTCTTTCCCCAGCTGGGGGTTGGGGCTCAGACTCCAGCAGGGGGGGGCCTGCCCACGGGCCTGGGGTCGGAGCACAGAGCTCCCTCCCGGTGGGAGGCTGGTGGGCGAGACTTGCTGAGTTGGGGGGAAGGGAGGGCAGGGGCTGGAGGACGCTGGGGGAGGGCTCAGAGCCTCTGCCTGCCCCCTGCTGCCTGCAGACCCCCCGGCGCTTGCTCCTGAGGGGGCAGCGCCCAGCTTGGGCCTCAGGTGCAGCGAGCCTGGGCTCGGCAGTGCTTGTCTGTGCCGCCATTGGCACCCGGCCGTGGTGCCTTGTCCCCAGCCGGCGGGACCCGGGGCCTGGGCCGCGTGGAGGCCCCCGACCCAACCCGCAGGACCACCTCCTCCCCCCCCGCCCGCCGTCCCCTGAGCCCAGCGCTGCCAGCGGCCACCGGCTCCCGCCAGTAGCTGCTTGGGGTTGGTTTTTAGCCCCCAGGGGGCCAGAACCTTCTGGAAGCCTCAGTCTGTTTTTTTTGTGCATTTCCTATCCCGTGAGCTCACACCAGGTGCTGGGGAGTCCTGGGTTCCCAGAACCCCCAACCCTGGGGTTCAGGGGAGTCCAGGCCCCCCTGGCCAGCACGCCTATGGGCGTCAGGGCGAGCTGGCGCGGGGTCCTCCGAGTCCCTGCCCCCCAGAGAGCACAGTGTCGGGGGGCGAAGGGCCCCCAGGAGCGGCGCTCCCTCCTATTTGGAGGGTGTTTGGAGTTTTCGGCCTCCGTTCTCCCGTCCTCCCAGCACCTCCCCGTGCCCAGGCTGGGCTCTCTGCGGCCCGCGGCCCGCGGGTCAGACTGGGAAGGGCCACCCCCATTTCCTCCTGGGCAGTGACCTGGAAGCGCAGCCGCGTGCAGACAATGTGGGGTCCGAGGGTGTGGGCGGAGGGGGCGCGTGGGAGGGGCGCGCGTGGAGGGCGAGGGGCCGTGCAGGGTGGGGCAGTGGGAGGGGGACACTCGCCAGCCAGAGAATGGCCGGAAGCGCCCCCAGCCACGAGAAACTGCAACTGCGCTGGCGGGGGAGGGCGCGAGTGAGGGGAGCAGTGGGGGGTTCAGGCAGAGGGCTTGGGGGGCTGCCTTTGTGCAGGGAGCAGTGGGAAGCGCGTCTGGGTTCGGGGGTCCTGGGAGCAGGGTCCGGGAGCGCGGTTCTGACTCTGCCGCCAGGAAGGCTGGTGTCCCGGGGCCCTGGGCCCCTGCCTGGCATGTGCCCTGGGGGGCCCGGCCTGACTCCGGGCGGACCCCCAGAGGTGACTGGCCATGACCGCAGCCCGGACATCGGGCCCTTCCCCAGCGCCGCCCCCCGGGCTCCGGCCCGCGCGGGGCAGCCCGAGGGAGGCGGCAGGAGGCCGCCGTGGCGGGGGTCGCCCTCTGCGTCCGGCCTCTGCCGCTCTCTCCCCTTTCCGCTCTCAACGCCCGGCCGGCCTGGCCTGTGTGCGGACGGCAGCTGCCCCGCTGCTGGCCCCGGCAGGACGCGAGGGTGGGTGCTGGGGGCGGGGCTGTCCCGCTCTGACCCCGGCCCTGGGCTCTGCAAACTCGCTCGCGGCCACCGCGGCACCGCCCTGCCTCGGCACACGTGTGCACGCCCGCGCCCTCGGCCTGCCCAGCCCAGCCCGCGGGCAGCCTGCGCCCGGGTGCCCCGCCCTCGCCACAGTCTCCCTGGCCTGGGCCTCCCCTGCCCCCCGGCCCCTGCCCGAAGGGCGCTGGCCACGGAGCCTCACCCAGAGCTCCAGAGCCCCGGGCCGGGCCAGGCAGCGAACGGCCTCCCACCTCGGGACTGCGAGCTCGCGGCTTCTGGGCTCCAGTCTCCCCGAGACTCCCCGCAGGGGCCCTGCCGCCCCCTGGGCTCTGTCCCGGGGTCTTGGCCGAGCACTGGGCCCCGTGCACCCCGCCTGCAGCTGTGGCTGCTCCGCCTTGCCCCTGCACCCCCCTCCCCGCCATCCCCACAGGCCCCCACCCTGCGCGCTGTCACATCCCATCGAAAGACGCTGCAGTCAGGATGCGGCTGAGGAGGGCCAGGGAGGCCTGCGGCTCCTGGGGGGCCGCATGTGACCCGGCGCTTGACCTGCCTCGAGGGCTGTGTCCTGTGCAGCCCGAGGCCTCGCCTTCCTCACTTCCTGCAGGGCCCGGGGAGGAAACAGAGGGCAGAGCTGGAGCCGGGTGGGGGCCCTAGGGACTGTCCTGTCCTGGGTGGGTGGGCACCCCCAGACCCAGCGGGTGGCGCCCCCAGACCCAGCGAGTCCTCACGTCCCTCTCTCTCTCCGCAGCCCGGTGCAGTGCCGGCTTCTGTGTGAACGGTGGACGCTGCCTGTCCGGCTCGGCCCCCCGGTGCCGCTGTCCCCCAGGCTTCCGGGGCCCTCGCTGCCAGCACGGTGAGTGGGAGCCTCCTGGTGTGGGGCCCGTGGGGTGGCACAGTCAGCAGGGAGACCCCATCCTCTCCTGCAGCCCGTCTGAGGACGCTGGCGGGGGACGCCGACCTGTCTGCCCCCCACATTCTGGTGCCCACCCTGTCTGTGGGTGCCCCTAGGCGGGAACGCAGAGTCAGGGCTGGCCGGGGCCCCAGGTCGCCTGTCCTTGGGGTTAGGGAGGAGCCGGGAGCACCTGCCATGGAGCGGGGCGCCCCGTCCGCACTGGCCGGGGGTGGTGCAGCCTGGGGATGGGTGCGGCCCTGGGAGGGGATGGGTGCGGCGGAGGTTGGGGGTGCACCCCGGGGCTGGTGCTGCGGCTCTGAGCACGCCCAGGGACTTCTGGAGGTGCCTGGAGAGCACAGGGTCCTCCCGAGCCATGTCCGTCCTCGCTGCGGGAGGGGGCTCCGTGGGCGGGTTTCCGCTTCGCGGGGCTCCTGGTCGCACGTGCGGCTGGGGGAGCCGTGGGGACCGGGCGTGCAGCCAGGCTGCCTGGGAAACTGGATCCTGGCAGCCGGTTTCCGGCGCTTTGAACTGAGTGCGGGGGCTGTCCCGGGTGGCAGGGGGGCCGCGGCGTCCCGAGAGGCTGGGGGGGCTTCCGGCTGTCGGCGCCGGACATCGGGGAGTCGGGGGAATGCCGAGGTGCCGCTCTGGCCCCAGCGCGCGAAGACGGCCAGGAGGTGCGGCGGGAGCCTGGGGTGCCGAACTTGGGAGGGGCGGTGTGGGACCGTGGACTCTGCTTTTAGCCAGAAGGCTCTGGGCTGGGGTGCACCGACCGGCGGCCCTGGGCCCTGGGGGCTGGAGTGAGGCCCTTCCAGATGTGGGGGCGCCTCCTGTGCTCTGCCCTCCAGGCCGCAAGCCTCAGCCCGCTCCTTGGGGCTCTGGCCTCTGTGGGCTCACCAGAGGCCGCCTCACGGCCCTGACCCCGATGGCTGCTGGGGCTGAGGCCAGGGCAGGGCCCAGCCCTCTGGGGTCTTCACTCATGGCCCAGGTGGGCCTAAGGGGCGCCTTGAGGGTCCTCCCTCTGAGGACGGCTCTTGAGCCCCTTCTTGACCGCCCACTGCTGCCTGCACCCCCTCAATGGCCACCGCCAGAGTGGGGTCCCCGTGAGAGGAAGGAGGGGCAGATCCCCCAGGCCCCTCCCGCCAACTCCCAGACCCGGCCCGCGGAGCACCTGCCCATGACTGGCTCACCCGGGGCGGGAGGACAGTGGCCAGGGGCCGAGAGCAGAGGCCGGGGTGGTCCCCTGGTCGGCCTGTCCCAGAAGAAAGGCCGTGCGCAGAGCGGGGTGCGAGCGGGGAGGTGGGCGGGAGTGAGGCCGTGCTCCATGCGGTGTGAGCCGGGGCGCCCGCCCTCCCGCCGCGCCCCCGCCCTCCCGCCGCGCCCCGCCTCCATGCGCCCCCCGCCTCAGCCCCGGGTGTGCACAGTCGGGAATACTTAGCCACCCCCTTGTAATTGATTCCAGGTTTGAAAATAAAAGCCATATTTTTCTGGTTCCCCCAACTTCTTTCCTTGGAACAAAGGACTGGGGTGTGGAGAGGAACCCGGGCAGGGGGTGGGGAGCCCTGCACACCGGAGCCCCGGGGCCTGACGGGTCCTCCCACTGGAAGGAGGCCGGGGGCTGGGGGCTGGGGGCCTGGGAGTGGCTGGGGAGCTGTGGGGCAGTTCGGGGCCTGGAGTCCCCTCAGGGCTCCCTGAGGGCGTGAGGGGAGGAGGCGGGGGTGGGGCGCCCACGGGGCAGGGCTTCTGCGTCTGCGCCAGCGAGTGGACAGACAGACAGGGGGAGGCCCCGACCCTCCCTGCTGCCGTGCGCCTGCGGGTGCGACCTGACCGCCTGAGGTCCGCGGCCACGGGGCTGCTTTGGCGCCAGCCGCGACGGCCCGGGACAGGCTCTGCCTCGGCGGCCCCTCCCTCTGCTCCGCTCCCACGAGGCCAGGGGGCCGGCCAGCTTCTCACACCTGCTCAGCGGCACCGGCCCCTCCTTGGGCGCCACTCCCGAAACCGCCAAGAGCCGCGCTTGTGTGCAGGGCCGGGCTGGGCCTCTGCTGGCCTCTGCCCTGGGGGAGGCCTGGGAGCAGCCTGGGGGCCGCCGGCACCGGTGCCCCCCGTCCTTGTGCCCAGCGAGCCTCGTCCCTGCAGACCCCGGACTGGCTGGCACCCCGGCTGCTCGGGGTGCTGACCCGGAAGGGCACTGTCGTCCCGTCAGCCGTTCGCCTCTTGCTGGGTCTGCCCCCGCCCGCCCCCACAAAGCGCCGTGTCTCCGGGGGGGCCGTGTCTGGCCGAGCACGCAGCTCGTGGGCCCTCCCGGGCAGGTTCCGGGCCGGTGGGCTCCGAATGACGTCGGTGCAGAAGCCCGCCCGTCCGCCTCCCGGCCTGGGGTCTGAGTGGCCCGCCTGCCCCCTGCGCCCACTGGGCGGTGGCGCGGCTTCTTGAGGGCCCCTGCCAGGCTGGGCCAGCTGCCCGGGCAGGACCGAGGCTCGGGCTCCAGAGGAGGACCAGGCCTCCCGGCCTCCCGCCCACACAGCCCGCCCTTCCCCCTGGGTGGTCTTCCCGCACAATGGGCGCCTGAAAGGACCCTTTGGTCCAGGCCTGCCCCCCCCACGCGTCCCCCCTGCTCCCCCACTGCTGTTCCAGGCGCTAGGGAAATGCCCGCCACGCATGGGGGCAGCCCTGGTGTCCTGCCGTCCAGATGGCTGAGCCTCCGCAGTGCAGTGGCCTGGTCTGTGGCTGGCTCCGTGCCGGCAGCCGCCCCGCCCCGCAGGACAGGCCCGGGGGCTCCGTGGTTCCCACCGCCTCGGGAAGGCCGGGTCCGGCGCAGGAGTGCCCTCGGGTGTGTTTTGGGCCAAGGGCCGTGCTGGCCCCGGGCAGGCTGCGGGCAGTGCTGGGCCGAGTGAAGCCAGGCACCGATTCCAGCCCAGCAGATCGGGCCGACTGACGGCCTGCTGGCCACGGCGCGGGCTCGGGCAAGGCCCCTGCACCGGCCCCTGCTCCTGCTGTACGCTGGCCCCTCGGCCCAGGGCCCCGGCAGCGAGGGGAGCAGAGGCAAACCCCAGCCGCAGAGCCTCCCGGGGTCGCGGCCCCTCGTGCGGACCAGGGTCGAGATGCCCATGCCGGGCTGCGGTGGCCACCTGCTTTGGACTGGGGCCGCGAGGCGGCAGCAGGGCCGGAGGGGCTGGCTCGAGTGTGGGAGGGAAGCCGGGGAGCGGGGGTGAAGCCACGATAGCCCCAGGTGGACCCCCTCTGCCCACTTCCCGGGACCCCAATGACGGGGCCCCTTCTTGTCACCCCGTCCTCTGCAGCTGGCGCTCCCCCTCACCCGCACCAGGTCTGGGGTAGGAGAGCCCGGGGGCAATAAAATGCAGCCAGCTGCACCCCTGTGCCCAGTCCGCCTGCAGCTCAGGGCCCTGGGGCTCCAGCTCTCAGCCCGCCCGTGACCTCCCGCCAGAGCCTTTTGGGGCTCCCCGAGGCTGGTCCTGCCGCCCGAGCCAGGGCTATTTGGGGCCAGTTCCAGGCAATGCACTGGCTGCCCTTGTTGGGCTCCCGGGTCTGCCCGGCCCCCACCCCAACAGGATAATTAATGAGGGGTCTGCCCGCGAGGGGCTGGCACGGGCTGCTCGGAATCTGCGCTGGTCTTGGCGGCTCCAGCATTCCAGAGCAGGGCCTGGCCCTCAGCGCCGGCGAGGCAGGCCTGGGCAGCACCGCGCGCCAAACCAGCTGATAGCAGGGCCGTGATGGTGCGGGGGGCGTGGGGTGGTGGTGGGGTGAGGGATGGGGGCGGGGGCACCGCGGCCCAGGCGGGTCTCACAGGTCAGTGTCTGCTGCGCCAGGTCAGCCGCCCCTGCCCATATCCCGGGCCAGGGTCCAGGGAGAGGCTCCCGAGCGGCAGGCAGAGGCCACTCCCTGCAGGAGGAGGCCGGGCTGGCAGGTGCCCTTGGCCTGGGAGCTGGGCTTCGGGGCACCCTGAGCTCAGTCTGGGGCCTCTCAGGACCTGCGTTCAGTCTGCTTCTCCCACCGCCGGGGCCGTGGGCGGGAAGATGCCCCCGCAGCCCAGGGCTCGGGCAGGCCCCTGGGGCGTGGGCAGCTGCCCCCCGCCGACTGGTGACCTGGGCAGGCTAGGTGGCTGCTGCCCTCACGGACAGGCAGTGCGGCCCTGCCCGGCGAGCGCAACTGGGGTCGTCCGGGTCTTCCGCCGAGGCCCTTAGAGCTCCCAGAGGGAGCTGGGGGTGAGGGGTGCCCCCCAGGACCCCACTATGTGCTCCAGGGCCTCCCTCCCAGGGCTGCCACTGGGCCCCTGGGGACCCAGCCCCCTGTGGCCCCAGAGCTCCTGGTGGGGAGGGCACCCTTTGGCTGGTGAGGGCTCCGCCCCGGCCTCCTGGGAGGGGCTCCTGCACCCCGGCCGTTGGCGCCAGCACAGCACAGACGCTGCTGCCCCCTGGTGGCGGCGAGAGGCCAGGGCGGGCACGGGGCTGCAGGGATGGGAGATCTGCTGGGCGGGGCCCCTCGCCTCACCCTGGCCCCCAACTCCTGCTGTCACACCTGAGGGCTGCTGAGGCCCGAGGGCACAAAGAGAGGAAGAGCCCCAGAAGGGGTCTGGACAACAGCCACACGCTCTTTCCTTTGTCCACCCGTCCGTCCATCGCTGGCTGGCCGTGTGCCAGGTTGCGGCCGGGTCAGCTGAGAAGCTGTCTGGGGGGCAGCGGGGCTGGGGTGGTGGCTGGAGACGAGCGTGGGGCACCAGGATGCGGGGTGGGGGTGGCCTGGCAGCCCCTCGGCAGCCCTGGCCTGGTCGCCCTGCAGCGCCCACCTCCTCGGGGCTGCAGAGCCACCAGCCCAGCCCACTGGCGCTGGCACGGAGGCCAGGCGATGCGGGGCCAGGCGATGCGGGGCCAGGAGATGCGGGGCCAGGCTGGGGCGGCCGAGGGCTGGCAGGCGCAGAGACGGGTGGGTAGCCAGGCCCCCCAGAAACC